TACCTACATCTGCATAGCCTCCTGTGATGAGCAAGCCAATTTCCATTGGTGCTAGAGTCTCGAGAGCTTTTAACATCAGCGTCCATAAAAATTAGGCCCCTCTAAGCGTGGACGAACCTTCTCGAATGGCTTCGGAATAGTGCTGAAATCTCAGCCCCAGAGTGGTTTGAGTCTCCTGTATTGCTGCAACTAGATCCCAACTATCTTCGAAAACCGTGTTATGAGCAGACTCGACTTCGCGAGAATCAATATGTATCACGGGGCCCAGCTCAGCGATAACAGAGTCCCGGACGCCGCGAACAAGCAGCACCATTTGAGACTAAGGGCCTACATTCGTGGTCTCATATGTGAGGAAACCTCCTGTCTTGAGTTCCCCACTTTCATGTCCCAGTCGTTATGATGCTGAATCCATCACTTGGCTCCAATCTGGTACCCATGAAGGCATGCTTCGCGAATGCGGGTGCCAAATCATTATCAGAAGCTCGAGACCTATCTTGTCATCGGCGAACAAGAGAAGGGCAAGCTCCAAGAAGACAGCCTCAGTTTTTTTTGCATAATCGATGAGTCGTTCAAGACGAGACGGATCACTTCGATGTAATTATATGAGGGCTATGGCTTGATCTCGCGGATCTGTTGAAGCGCGCATACCAGTAAACGAAAGATAGACGTACATCTCTTGGGCTGCTGTACGACACTCAGATGTACCATATAATCTTCGCCTTTTTGATATCTAATGGCGCGGGAACGATTGAAGTGACTTGAAACCCCTTGTCATAACCAAAGCGGCATTCGTGAATTGCTTCGTATGATACCGAATAGTGCCCGCACAGAAACAATGCCCTTTGTGAGTGAAAAAGTTCTTGTATAACCCAGATCCTAGAAACCCATAGGCGTCTGAAGAGCTCTTCGAGTTCAGAAATCAGGATCTGTTCAGACTCGGGCGCTGGGTTTTGTTTTCCATCCTCGAGCCACTTATCGGCTTCGGCGAGATGCTGGAACAGTGGGCGAGATTCGATTGTATTCTCACCTAGGAAAATGACAGTCTGTTTAGCAGTAGCGAAGATTCTCCCCATGATTCGAACTTGTGCGTTTTGTTCCGCAATGTTGCTTTGATCTATACACACAGCATCTATCCAGGGCGTCCGGACACGCTGAGGGTCTCTTGGGTAACGCAGTGCGGTGGTGACACAGTTGAGTGGAACTTCGAGTTCTGCATTGTCTTCACCACACAAGATCGTCTGACGCTCGTTTGCATCGCCCCATGTGTATGATACAGCCTCAAAACGGTCTCTGGAGGCTCCCAGGTCCGTGTGTATTATTTTGCAATGAACTCGAGGATCGTCTGTTGATCCCGGGGACAATTCAACCAAGCGAATACTATTGCGGGTCTGAATTCGATGATACTTGTATTTCAAGGCCATTTGAGCTGTTTTGATCTATTTCTTGCGGACGCCTGTGCAAGACTGGCTCAGCCTTGCTTTGACTTATCTGCTGCATGTCTGCCAGCCATCATGCCTTGAGCGAGTCTTTCACGTGCAGAAGTCATTGGCCAAGACTCTTGAGCAAAGAATCACACAGTCACTTACACTTACCACCTCAATGCATCTAGAGATCCATTTGGCAGTCCGAAACCAAAAGTCTACGACGAAGCATCTACAGCCTCACCAAAGGTTGAGTCACAGTAAGTCAAAATGGAGTCTTAAGATACGGTCAACTCCGTTAGTGTTGCCGTTTCCTTGTTAGTGCCCGCCCGGCTTCTGACAGTCCGGGTCGGAACACCGTCTTATCTTGCGGTGATCTCCTCCAGAATGACTACGGCTTGGCCGCCCCAGGCCTGCAATTCGCCCCCAATGCGTGTTGAAATCCCTTGCAGCTTGCTGTAGGCTCCGATGCGGCTCCGATCCAATTCCGATGGCAAAGTGACTGTTTCTCTCCAATATTGCTGCAGTTTTATCTGATGATCAGATTATTTTCCTTGGCATACCATACCCTTGACACACCCACTTCGGCGCTTTATAAGGCGTTGATCCGAGGTTTCCAATTGCCGGCTTGTCATTATTCTCCTTCTCGTGACTCCTATAGCTGTCATACGCGCGCCACGATGGCTCCTAATCAAGAGACTGGAATGGCAGCTGATGCCATCACTCCTGCTGTACCCCTGGATCTAGAAATGACATCAATGCAACTGACAACGACGGTCAAGCGGGACGAGGACCCATTTCTCGTCACCTTCAAACCGAATTATGACGAAGAGAACCCCCTGGACTGGCCTAAGGGTCGAAAATGGGCTGTCACTGATACGCTTTCAGCAACGGGCTTCAATCGGATCATGGTCTCGACAATCATGTAAGTCGCTGTGCGCACTTTTGAAAGAAGAGGTCTAACTTTCGCTCCAGGGCGCCTGCGCTATCTACTATCAAGGAAGAACTGCATATGAGCACCGCCGAGTCAGCAATGGCTTTATCAATCTATCTATTGGCAACAGCCTTTGGGCCGCTGATCATTGGGCCTCTGTCGGAGATCTATGGCCGCAAGAAGATCATGCACGCCTCGAACATTTGGTTTCTCATATGGAACATCGCGTGCGGCTTTGCAAACACCAAAGAGCTACTCATCGCTTCAAGGTTTCTCGCAGGCTTCGGGGCCAGTGCAATCTATGCACTTGCGGGAGGAGTGCTAGGCGATGTCTGGAAACCCGAGGAGCGAGGACGCGGCTTAAGAAACTTCAACATGATTCCGACGCTTGGGTCCGCTGTAGGGCCTATTATTGGAGGCTTTATGGCTGGTCGGACGACATGGAGGTGGATGTTCTGGTCAGCCAGCATATTCCAGGTCGTTATGATTGCTGTGTCATTTACGACGACATACGAGACATATGCTCCCCTCATACTGAAAAGGCGAGCAGAGCGGCTACGATGTGAGACCGGCAATGATCGTTACTATACCGTCTATGAACGCCTCGAACAGAAGAAATCCGTCTTCTTGGTCGTGACAAGGACCCTGAGCCGCCCTCTACGCCTCCTGATCTTCCACCCGATTCTCCAAGTCACCTCGCTCATCTTGGCTTTCAATTACGGTATCCTCTACATCGTCCTGTCCAGCTTCGCCGATCTCTGGATGCAGCAGTACGGCCAGTCCGTGGAGATCAGCGGCCTACACTACATCGCCTGCGCCTTTGGCGAGCTGGCAGGCTCACTCCTCGGCGGCCCGCTCATGGACTGGCTGTTCCGCCGAATGCTTGCCCGGTCCGCAGACGGCGAGCACACGCCCGAGTTCCGCATCCCCATGACCTTCCCAGGCGCATTCCTGATCCCGCTCGGGCTGCTCGTCTACGGCTGGACAGCGCAGTTCCGCACGCACTGGATCGCCGTGGATATTGGCGTCTTCGTCATCATGTTCGGATTCCAGATCTCGCAGCTGCCTATGCAGGCATATGTGATGGAAGCATATCCCGAGCACACGAGCAGTGCACTGGCGGCATCGCAGTTCTTGCGAAGCTTGACGGCATTCTTGTTCCCGCTGTTTGCGCCTAGTATGTACGGGGCGATGGGCTACGGGTGGAGCAACACCGCCCTTGCGGCGTGCGGGCTGGTGCTTGGGTTTCCTGCGCCATTTATCATGTGGGCTTACGGCGCGAGGATGCGGGCGAGGGCCAGATCGAGCTATTGAGTTTCTACTCTAGTTTCCAGTTGAATGCCAAGATAGTCCTAGGGGTACATGTCTTCCAACCTTGTTACAAGATACGCAGGTCTCCGGACTTATCGATGGCAAGGTGCCGTGGTGCCTTGGGTGCTTCGTTTGGTCGGCATCACGGTGGCAATCATTAGGCATGTCAGTTAGATCGTCCATCTTAAAACCTACAGCTCCTCTTTGGAGTAGGAGCAAGAAGAACTCGGAGCTGGAGGATGGGTCATTGCCCAACGTGTGTATGTATTTAGAACAGCATGGTCTCAGGCGTATGGGAATTGGAAGCATTACTGGTAGCATATGAAGCACTTCTTTAATATGATCATCTTGAAGCCGAATACATATCATTACAAGGAGGTTACAATGACAAAACCTCTATGAGACGCTCATTTTCCCTCCCAGTCCCATGCCCAGACATAAAAGCCACATTTATATCATTATAATAGCCTAGGTAAGCTTCTGCTTGATGAAGAATGACCGCAGATGGGAGAGTTGCCACGCGCAGGTCGCACCAAGGACAACCAGTTGGATGATTATCCATCGTATAACACGGGCGTTGGTGGACTCGGACTGGTCTCTGAACTCTGCTTCCCGCTCCTATTGCTGCGTTAGTCCCATGCCCAAATGAAATGAGGACCCCAAATATCTAGGAAGGTTCATGGGCTCGTGAACATTATCGACGTACTCTTTGGAACACCTGTTCCCTTCGGATATCCTGTAGGCGCATGTTCAAATCCTTGATTCTCGACTGGATGTCCTCCAACTTGTCCTTGTCGGAGCTTTCAATCGCACTTGTCTCGCCAATTGCCAGGTCCAGGCTTAATTTGATGCCACCGTTAGGGCTCAACACGCTGAGCCAGTTGCTCTTGCCGCTATTCGAGGATGGGGTGAAGCAGATCTTGTGGTCGCCTGCCTCGGCGGCCGTGAAGGTGAAGCGCCCTGCAGACGAGCCTCGCTGGGAGACAACGCGATGGTCGTTATCGAAAACTTCCTATATGGGCAGGAGTCAGCTTCCAAACGTTGTAACAGCGCATAATAGCCTATGTAGAGCAATTTGAAGATGTCTCTGCATAGACGGGCTAAACGTACATCGACTGAGATGTAAATGCTGATTCCATCATGCTTCCACCACGCTTGCCTGTGATCATCCCACTCCTCAGCTGTGTAGTGGCCCACCACCAAAGTGTCCTTGGGAAGCTCCTCGAAGAAGCACTTGGGCGTCGTGCCGTCGATGTAGAAGTAGAGCGCCTGAGCTACAGAGCTCAGGGCTAGAAGGGGAAAGAAGGCCCTCATTGCGTATTTCGATAATTAAAACCCTATTTTTCAGTTACCACGTCGAACTTCACCCCGAAATGCCCGGATTGATCCTTAGGAGTCGTGGTGGTCGTGGCGACTATCCGGGGCGATGGCAAGTTGGCAATCCGTGAAATGAAGGTGCAGCGCCCTCCAAGTAATCGAACGTGGCACTTCGCGTAGCTGACCCAAAAATTCGAGCCAGGGGTAAAGTAGCGTCACGTGCGCCAAAGGCTTTCGCGAGCTCAACTTTTTGGCGATCCGTGCACCGACCAAACCTCAACTGCGCGTCTGTAGCCCGCGACCACATCGAGATTCCATCACGTCGACGACCATTCTTCCGCATTTCATCAGCTGCGGCACCTTTCGTCTCCTTCTCATGTATTAGTATCACATTGACGCACTGCACTTTGGGACACCCGGCGTCCCCCGATTACATCTTGGACCTCCCATCACAACGACGCAGTCTTGATCGAGGCGTGCTGACACGAAAATGACTTCCCATGACGTTCGCGATGTTCTTAATTTACCCTCGGACGGTAGTGCTCCTCGTCCGACCAAAAAGCAAAAACTTTCCGCGCCGCGGCCTAATCTCAAAGGTCTTGCGCGGGAGGTGCAAAACCTAGGAGGCGACAACCCCATCTCCATAGTCCCGGAAGCGACGCTCTTCAAAAAACGACGCTTTGCCAGCCGGAAGCCAGCGGCAAAATGGGAGCTCCGGACGTTTAAGAACTCCGCGCGCGACGATGGCAGCTTACTTTTGCAACACTGGAGGCGAAAGACGGAGGGCGATCCGAATGCCCATCAGCAGGTGAATGGTGATTCGGAGATGGTGGATGGCGAGAGCGCTGCAAATCAGGAAGAACAACTCGAGGACTCAGCGTTTGCGAAATACAATGCGCAGGTGGTCGTTCCCCAGTATAACGAGGATCAATACAACAGCAAGCTACAAAGCACGGACTGGACCAAGGACGAGACGGATTATCTGATGGATCTAGTCAAAAGCTACGATCTGCGATGGCCGTTGATCTGGGATCGCTACGAGTTTTCACCCAGAGGAACGGATGAAGACGCTGCCAATGGAGACTCGACAGCAGTTATTCCAGCACCAAAGTCACGGACAATGGAAGATCTCAAAGCGAGATACTACGAGGTGGCCGCGAAGATGATGGACGTGCAAAAGCCAGTACAGTACATGACTCGGCCTGAGTGGGATCTACATCAGATGATGGTGAATTTCAACCCGAACCAGGAGAGGTTGCGAAAGGAGTTCGCGCTCAACTCCCTTTCTCGCTCTAAGGAAGAGGCTAGGGAGGAGGAGTCGCTGCTTCTGGAAGTCAAGCGCATTCTCGCGCGGTCCGAGAAGTTCAACGAGGAACGGCGGGAGCTCTACAGCCGTCTTGATTTCCCGCATACTGACCAGGACATCAGCTCCTTCAAGTCAAGTGCAGGTCTTCAGACCCTGCTGCAGAACCTCATGAACGTTGACAAGTCTAAGAAACGCAAGTCACTCATAGGTCCCGACGGAGTCAGTCCTGCTTCTGGTGGTCCCAATGCTCAACCACAGAGTGCAACCTCAGAGGTCGCTCCAAGTAGGCGCGAAAGTATCGCGGCTGCAGCGTCGTCTGGTCACCGTGAATCTATTGGCACAGAGAAGGCGACTCCGGTCGGCAACAAGAAAGGTGCACAGCAGCCTGAGCGCCGCAAGCTTACAGAGCAAGAGGAGCAGATCTATGGTGTATCACATCATGATAGGCTTGGCTCTGGTCCTACGTTCCGTTATGAGAAGGTCAACAAGATCTTCACTCACAAGAGTGGCCAACAGCAGTTGCGTATAACGAACGCACTCAACGAGCTTGATATTGGTCCTCGTCTTACTATGCCTACAGCTCCGGTTACAGCTCAGTATGAACTACTAATCCAAGCTGTCACGGCATTGGTAGACCTTAGAAAGGTGGCTGATAAGCTGGACGGGGAGATTAAGATTGAGGAGCAAAAGAAGTTAGAGAGACAGAAGAAAGCGAGGGCTGCACTCGGACTGGATGGAGCGAGCGATGAGCCCTCAAAGGACCAAACTGTTCCTGACTCTCAAGACTCCGCAAAGGGAGATGCTTCTGGTGCTACTTCTGGGGAAGTCGGCGCGGACTCTAAACAAGATGATCAAGAACCTGAAGCAAGTGAGGCCACGGCCCAACCTGAGGCGAATCCAGACGTGACAGGTGGTGATGAAGGTGCAGGAGAGGATGCTGCGCCTCCTGTGGAGGTGAAAGTGGAAGAGGGGGTCAAGGAGAAGACGCCCCGGCCAGGAAGCAGCGGCGCTCACAAGCGTAGTGCCAGCGTCTTGAGCACGACGAGCGACAAAAGCGCTAAGAGGCAAAGAAAATGAAGATGGTGATGGACAAAGAATAGGGGCGGCGATGCGCCGTTCAAGGCCTCGTGAGGGCCGAGAACTGTTGTCTAGATTAGGAAAGGATACCAAGCTCCGGCAGAGTCCGTGATGACGATGAACCGGCGCGTGTCCTATCGGATCAGGCCAGGGCGTCAAGCAATGTTTAGAAATGATAACTGTACACTAGGGAGTGTGAAGTCATCTCCACTGAGGATCAACATGTTGATTTTCTGAAACAGTCCGATGTCACTTGACGATGTGAACTGCATGTTTGAGGTGATGTTGAACCGGTACATGTACCTCGACAAGTCCGCTTGTACCAGTACGACCTCAGTGAACCCCGGCGCAGAGCCGCCTGGACCAGGAGGTGCATCCATCGTAAACGCTATGGCTAGCCGCGAGGAGTCGAGGCGTAAGATGTGATGAACTCCAGGGCCTAGGCAGCGAAAGTAGAAGAAAGGAGGAGTATGTTTGAGGTTTATTAGACAACCGCGACTGCAGCATGGGCTAGTTGTGCGGAAATTGGAATTGTGGTTTTGAAGAGGTGAGGTCGAGAACGTATGGTGCCCAGTAAGAGTGTCGTTTCGATAAACAAGCTACCTGCCATGGCGGCTGCAGATGCGGCTACATGGCTATGAATAGAACCAACCCTAGCCGAGTCACTTAAAATAGCCTTCGTAGGGTCCTTGAATCCTGTCTGTAAGTGCGTCATCACGGCAATCTGGGTCTTGGAGAATGGTCGACGTTGGATTGGAAACGATCCAGGGGATGGGGTCGTATTCTCTGGAAAGGGTGTGTGGAAACTCAGGTACACGCCAATAGGAGAAAAGTGACGGAAGCTTCCTCGTGCATGCCGACACTAGAGGATACGCGCCAGGTTGGAGGACACTTGGGGCTCTCCAAACCCTTGGAACTCCAAGGCAGAGGTTCGCCGTCGTGATGGTGGGATGGATGGGGTGAGTAGGTCAAAGGCGTTGATTCTGTGTGCCGCAACGCACCGGTAGAACATGAGGTTGGCGAACCTGCAGCGTGGGGAGTCACGCAGCGAGACGCCCGGTACCCACACCACCATCTGTTCGCTCCCATTCAGTCATTGCATCATGATCTGGGGAACACCATGCAGGTTTGCAGCGAGGGCCAACGCCCGGTCGAGTAGCGGAGAGATGCCCGGACCTGCAGAGCAGATCTCTGTCGGGAAACAAAAATAGCAATAGCCGCCAGCCTTGCATATAGGCCAGACCCCCTGTGGTGGTTTCCCTATTTTTAGTTGTCGAAGGCTTCTCGAAGCTGTCTTTGACGTTGTCGTTGCGTAGGAGTGTCGGGCGCTTACACGGCGGCTATTTCGAAGCCCCTGATTTGCTCCTTGCTGGTGCTTTGACTCTCAGGGTGACCGATACCAGCGCAAACTGCATCTTCAATTAAAACATCGCGATAAGAACAGTAAGGAGTTGTCAAGAAGCAAATTGTAATCTTGTCTCATCAGAATGCTTGTGAAGGTGAAGTGCGTATTGAATCTTTTGAGGCTCAGGAAGGGGGAGACCGTCCTGTACCTGATTTGGACAGGGGGCAGGTAGGTAAGCCAAGACTATTGGGTTTGTTAGTCATCAAATCAGGTGACACCTCGGAAGGATTATCCAACTCGCCGAGGAGGATTAGAAGGTGCGGCTAGAAAGTAGAAGTTTGGGGGCTGATCTTGCTCGGTTGCCCCTTCCCAGCAGGTTCTGGGGCCTGGGGGTGTTGGTCGCTAAAATCTCAGCGGAAGCACAGCGGAGGTTCTTAGGCTGGGGCTCGCGGCGTAGCAGCCACTCAGATGGCAAGTTTAGCGAAGCATCACGAGCAACAGAACCAACAGACACACACCACCCCTCCCCGCATCGCGCCACCAACAAGCAAATTCTTTTTTTATCCCCATCGCACATGGCTTCATGGCTTCATCGAGTGGCCGACCTTCCCCAATCACTAGCGACGCCGCCCAGCTGGGACGAGTGTTGGTGGCACTCTGGGGGCCGTCGAGGCGAGATTATAACACCTTAGGATCCAGCACCATGCATCTATCTCTTTGCTCTGTCCCATGGAGCCCTGGCTAGAACGAGGCAGAGGAACCAACACGCGCAAACGTACACTCCATCCCCATTTAGCACCTGGCTCGTGGGCGAATGGGTCCCTGGTCGAGCCGCTCGGACTCGAGGCACCATGAGATCGGATCCACGAAAGCTCTCGGGAACCAATTTGTTCTTTCACAATCGGATTCAGCGGGCTTCCGCACAGCTGAACAAAATGACCGAGTCAATGGACGGCGTCTTTGGGTTGCGTATAGGAAAATGGGCTGGGCTGTCGCACACCTGCTCTGGTCTGGTTTTGCGTGGCCGATCAGTATGCCGGGCTCACCCATGCTGATATGCATTCTGTGGTCCAGTGGCCGGCTGTCATTGATCTTAGCCCGAACCATCGCGGGCGTTTTTCCGCTTTCATGCCAAACAGTGCGTCTGCGGCAGCGGAAGTCTCCCTCCTTTACGCTAAAAGCTCACGCTCGTCTGGGCGGGTCAATATATATCGCGGCGTCAGCATGTGGGTGCTGTGGTAAGGTAGTCCCTCACCATCGTATTGCTTGCATTTGCACACGCAACACACGCAACACACCCCTTCCCCCTTCCTCTCAGATGTCGAACATCATCCGGACCTGATGTATTGCTACATGACCACGGCCGAGGCATCAGTCCCGCTTCTATCACGAAATCGCACACTACGATACAGGCACACACAGGAGGCTAATGTAATAAGTGTTGTGTTATCACCCTCCCCTCTCACAGCCACGAGGAGAGGGCCACAGTCCGTCCTGAGTGGCCGTGCGGGGCAGGAGAGCGTGGAAATGGTGTTGCAAATGAAAATCGGCCGGCCATACAGCGCGGCGAAAGTCACCGAATGCTACATTAGCCCAGCTCCAGGACTTTTATGAACGTAACAGCAGTGTTGAAAGTTGAAACGCCGTCATCAAGTGCACACGATGTGGACCTGCTTGACAGTAATTCCGGGCCTTGCTGGACGAGGCATACTGTATCTGGTGTAACAATCAGGCAAGGGTGGACTCTTGCGCCTTCGTCTCTTGTTCACGCGAAAGTCTTGATTTCACTTGCCCAAATGCATCGTAGCGAAACACCTGCAGCCATGTCCCAATCTAATCCACCATCAGCACAACACCCACCCCCATCCGTCACGCAGGTTCTGAGATGGCGTGTGGCGAGCGCAGCGTTATCGGCACGCTTGCCAATCGCGATAAGCGAAGCATCAAACTTGATGTTTAGACGCATGCAACTGCTGTCGACCTCATCACACAAGCTCGCAGGCTAGGCGCACCGAAGGAAAAAGCAGCTTGCGCCTGACTGTTCCGGCTCGCTGCTTGAAATGCCTGGAGGAACGAATAGCGCTGTCGTCTAGCGACTCGCACAGTTCTTAGTGCCGGGCCATTGTCCGCATTTCAAGAGCAGCGACCGCTTATAGGCCAGAATTGCAGGCGGTCGCGGCCAATGAAATGACGCTGAACGCTTAGTTGTGCATCACGGCTCAGGGCGGTAAGGACATCCGAGCGCCCGGAGGCCATCGAGCCCCCTTGTATGGCAGGATTCGTCTAAGGCTCGCCTTCCCACATCTACCAGCCCTTGAGCCTGGATCTTCCGACAAGCGCCCTGAACAAGCTTCACGGTCAAAAATAAATCAGGAACTGAAAGCGACTGCAGCAGAGCGGGTTCACGACAAATAAATCTGAGATAAGGTCGCACATCCAGCGGCCCGCGACGAGATTGCTTCTGCAAAGTCTGGGGTAGTGTTGCTAAATTTATCGCGCTGCCTCGGGCTGACCCTGCCGCGCAACGCCCTGGCTGTCCCCTGCCGGACCATCGTCTTTCGGAAGATTACCGTAACCTTGCTGTTGTTTCATTCTAGGCCGATGGGGCACCACGGACGGCGTGTCTTTTGCGGAGACCACGGAACCCACCCACGCTCACCACAACAGAACGAACATCTTTGCCTTCGAGAAAGGGGTCCCCGTCTAGCCACATTTCGCCCATGTCCGCCGCCCCCCTCCCTAGTCCCCCGTCAAGGTGCGGTAAGTTGACAGGCAGGAGAGATTGAAGTCTCCGAGAACCGCATGACGGTGCAGTGCCACCATGGGACGTAACACTCCCAATGCCCCCAAGAGGTCAAGCTTCACGCATGCCCTTCCCCTTTGAGAATGTCTCGCCAGCCTCATTTACCATGTCCTATGCACCTTTTTTCGAAGGTGGAACATCTGCTAGACATACGGTGAACCAACGCTAACAGTGCATGGCTTTGCCCGAGGCACACATCCAGCACTCGGAGCCCACTCCCTTTGAGTCCGCCTCGATGACTATGTATGTCGAAATGAAATTTCGACCGGTTGTAAAGGACATTTGACAGAGCATATTATGCCTGCCGAGAGGTCCGGGTCGCTCCTGGGAGGCTTCGGCTGCGTATATTCTCCTTGATACATTGCACTGCCGCGTTGAGGACGGGAACTGGCGGCTGGCAAGAGCCCTGGACGAAATACGAGACACTTGTGACAATGGAAGGGACCACTTGCGTTAGCTGTTGCGAATCGTGCAAGTCGCTATTCTAAACGCGGGATCTCTAGACAAGACAAAAAATCCACTACACACGCCGCGCCAAACTGTATGACAACTACATCCCTGTCATGAATCTTTAATTGGCCCTTGTCTGACAAACCCCTCACACTGAGTCTTTCACATCACATCCGCCCGGCAATGTCCTGTACAGTTTGCCTTGCTGCAATCCATGGTTGGCGGGGCGGCGGCAAAGACGAACAGCGCCTGGAGCTCGAGTAGGCAAGCAAAGACTCTATTCTTCGATTCAAACGGCAGCTAAAACAGGACATCCATCATGCTTTAAGCGCAACGGCAAGGACCCTGCTCTAGCACGGCAAGATGGTAGCATCCTCTTTCTTCCAATCGTGTGGCCGATTT